GTCGTGAGCAGGCACAGGTCTGGCGTTTTGTACCTGGTCTGGTTTCTGCACCACGTCGGGTTTCTGCACCTGGTCCGGTTTCTCTGACTGAGTGGTCAGTCGTGAGCAGGTACAGGTCTGGCCTTTTGCACCAGGTCTGGCTTTTTTGCTTCAGGTCTGGCTTCTTGCACCTGGTCTGGTTTCTGCAGTTGGGGTGGTTTCTCTCCCCATGCCTGGGTTTGAAAAGGTCGGGATCGGGATGACCTGAGATCCAGTGTGAGCAGTCACAAGTCTGGCTGTTTGCGTTCCAGTCAGGTTTCTGCACTGCGTCTTGTTTCTTTCTGCACCTGTTCTGGTTCCTGTACCAGATTCGGTTTCTGCACCAGGTCTGGTTTCCTTCTGCATCAGATCTGTTTTCTGCGGTTTTGGCTGGGTAGGAAATGACCAGCGGGATACCCAAGAGCCTAGCTCAGTGGGTACACCAATGAACTGTTGAAATACAGACCCAAGTTCACGACGGTGAGGTCAACTGTGAGCCAACACAGGGGGGTCTGTTTCTTAGTACCAGATCTGGTTCCGTTCTGCACCAGGTCTGTTTTTTTTTTTTTTTTTTTTTTTTTTTTTTTTTTTTTTTTTTTTTGGGGGGGGGGGCCCCGGCCCGCCCCCCGGGGGCCGTTTGGGAGAGGGGGGGGTGGGCCGGAAAAACCAAACGGGTTAAAAAAAGGGAAAGGGCCCCAAAAAAAAAAAAAAGGCTTCAGTCGTTGATTCAGGCTTCAATCACCAAGGAAATGAGACCCCTTTTCTCGATCTCGATTTCGACCCCCCCCAAAAAAAGCCCAGAGTCGACTCGTCGACGACCAAATAGAGCGACCATCGTCGACCAGCTTGCCTTTCGACCCCCCCCAAAAAAAGTCCAAAGTCGATTCGTCCACGACCAAATCGAAGACCCCAAGAAAAGAGCTGAACCTACCCCTTTTCGACCCCCCAAAACGACTACAAAAGACCTGAGCCTACTGCTTTTTCAATTCGACCCCCCCCCCAAAATGGCCAGAGTCGACTCTTCCACAACCAAAAAGACATGAACCGATTCAAGATTGGTCCTGTTGCCATGGTCCCGGGGGCCAAGTCCCACTTACGCTGATCCTTGATTTCTGGTCGTTGATCTTCCTAATGTGCGGTCAAAATTCGATCATTCGGGTAAGTGGCCCCTGTCGGGTCTCGCCTACCTGCAGGCTGGGACCAAGGCCCGCATGTTCTCTCGTTCGTGAACACGGTCCCAAGTCCCGCTTACGCTGATCGTTCATTCTTGTCCGTTGATCTTCGTAATCTATGGTTAGAAATAGAGGATTCGTTTAAGTGGGACTTGGCTCATTGTTCTGGCTGCTACGGGTTCCCCGTATGACTATAATTAGTAGTGGTAGGTAGGGAGTGGGAGGTGAAGAAAAGGAGAGAAGAATGTGACTTACTTTCAAAAAGATGGGAAAAAAAGAAAAAACAAGAAAAAAAGACAAGACCGTTGGTGTACACTGGGGTAAGACGCTCGCAATGTTTTCTACCAGCCACGTGGACTCGCGAGGATTGTCCACGTGGAGTGATGGGCGAAGAGAGAGAGAGTAGAGGAGGTAGAGGGAGGAGGGGGTTTACCAAAGCAAAGCAAATATCCGAGGAACTTCTCAGCGGAGCTCGATAGGTGAACAGCTATGGCGTCGGCATCGCCGTCGGCGTTGTCGTCCTCCTGGCCTTCGTCTTGGACCGCTTCCCCTTGGGCCCAGCGGACGATATCCGGCGGTTCCACGTGGCCTCGTCGCGATGGCCATGCAAACAACACCCCACTTCGCGTTGTTGCACACGTTGATATGGATTGCTTCTACGTCCAAGGTTGGTTGCTCTCAATCTCTCTCTCTCTCTCTCTCTCTCTCTCTCTCTCTCTCTCTCTCTCTCTCTCTCTCTCTCTCTCTCTCTCTCTCTC